TTTATCTCATGTATTATTATTATTATTATTATTTATTTATTTTATTTTTGTTACGCCATTCAGTTTTCATTCATTCGTTCTCACATCAGATACAACGATAATAATATTCATCAACAATACTCATGCGAATTCACAACTATCGCATGCGCACCAATATCAATGTTTACGCGCGCGCTAACCTTGCGACGGCGCACTCCTGGTACCGGCCTCCGTGCGCCAAAAAAACTAGTTCCTTAGCCTCTCCGTAGAACACATCTGCTCGCCGGCCGTTGCTCTCCTACAGGTGCGATAATGTGCATCCTTTTGTTTCCTCATCGGGAGTGTGGGATTTCCCCGCTAGACGCCGAGGGAAGGATGAGCAAAGTGCGACAAGGCGGGAGAATGCGATGGATAAAGAGCGGGGGGTGGTGGGTGGGGGAGGGGGAGGGGGGGAAGGAGGGAGTTTAGGGGGGAATTTGGGGAAAAGGGCGGGGGGATATTGGGGATAAGAGAGGAAGAAGGGTTTAGAGATGGTGGGGGATGAGAAGATAGAGATATGGGGAGAATTAAAGGTCTGGGGGATAGCAGGAGATAGAGCAAGGAAATAAAGAAAGGAAGGTTAAGGATAACAGGAAAAGGATAACAACAAGCGGTGGAGGATAGAAGGGTTAAGAAGCGGATGCGGGAATAGATAAGGGTGGCCAGAGGGCGGGGAAGGAGGCTCTCGCGTGGGTGGTTCTGTGCTAATGACGTAGCTGGGACGAGTGTGCAAAACTGCGGGCGGGGGGGGGGGGGGGCGGGTGCGCACGGGGGCGTAGGCGCAGCACGTCCCCGCTCACATCAGCACACGCAGGCCACCTGATCGCGTTTTTTCCGCCGCCCAAAAAGTGGCACCGCGCAAGGCCAGCCGAGGGAAGCCGCGGCCGCCGTCACGATGCGGGAACGCCAGTCGAGGACCGCGCCCGTCGCCGCAAAGACACCGCCTGCGGGCCTCTGATCGGGTCATGGCGCAGGCTGCAAGATGCGGCATCAGTGCCATTGCTTGTCGGTTTGCTTTGCCGATGCTGCTGATGCTGCCACTGATTCTGACGAAAGGATGATCGAAACCGGTCTAGTACATCTCTTGTATTGAGATATTCATTCTCATTCGTTCCTGTTCTACATTTGTCGCAATTACTACTGCAATTACAATTATTACTGCACTAATATCATTCCTGTTACTGCTACTGTTAGTATCAGTACTACAGATACTGCTACGTTTATCACACGCTTACTACTGCAATTAATACTACTACGATTATTGCTGATGACACTGCTATGAAAAAAAAAACAGAAATAACTCAATTACACTAATAATCATGATCTAATATAACAAATTGCTGGACGTGTTTTGTAAAGAAAATGGAAAAAAAATCGATAGTCAGCGTTGTCCTCAGAAGGTTAGCGATAAATGCAAAATAAGATAGATAGATAAATAAATGAGCAAAAAAGGGAACTGAGGGATAGATAGATTAATAAATACAAATATAAGCAGATAAATACTCGAACAATATTTCTTTTCAACATACACGCGACAAAGGTGATAATCTGTGATGTAAAAAATTGAAGTTGAAAACACTAAAGTTAATAAAAGTAATGATAATGCCTTTATACTTGGCCTTTTCATTATCATCTTTATTGTTGCTGCTCTTCATTATCGATATTATTGCTAAGTGTACCACATTGTCGTTAGTATTCTCATACTCTCTTTATAATCATTATTACTAATACTATCATACATCATTGTTAATATTATGATAATGATAACAATAATAATAGTGATATGATAGTTATTATCATCATCACTATCATTATCATTAATGATTATTACCATTGTTATCATTATCATTATTATCTTTGTTATCATTATTGTTAATAATTTATATATATATATATATATATATTATATATAATATATATATATATAATATATTATATATGTATGTATATATATATATATATATATATATATATATATATATATATATATATATATATATATATATATTATATATTATATTTTGGTGTTATCATTATTGTTGTCATTATTATAATTGCTATTAATGTCATGATTATTATTACTATTACTATTATCATGATCGTTATTAATATCATTATGATTATTATTGTTATGATTTTCATTTTCAATATTATTGTCATTATTTTCATTATGATGATTATTATCATTATTACTATTTTCATTGTTACTGCTGCTATTGCTGCTATCTTTATTACTTTTTATTCGATTCGATCATTACCTTCATTATATCATATCATCATTATCATTATGTCAATATGGATTTATCTTTTATTACCATTATTACTTTTATTTTTCATATGTTCATTTCGTGATCTGCAGTATCGTCGTTGGTCCTGTTATTGTTTTCTACTATAAACACTTAGAGAAATCATTAATACTTTTGTTTTCATTATTCATCTTCACTATCATTCTCGTCATTGTGATAATCGTCATTATTCATTTGTTTGTTTGTCGTTTCCCTGTGTTTATCTATTATCTTTAATTTCATTTTTGTATTGACTTTGAGAAAAAATGCTTTGTCAAGACCTCAAAAAAGAACATTTGAATACGTTAAATTTATGTTCTACAACCTTTGTATAAAATGATGTTGTGATATAAAAAACAAAGGATGGGATAGTATGTTAATATTTCAGTATTATGATACTGAATTATGGATAATAGTTGTATCATGATATAAAGGGTGAATGATGGGAGAGTGTCTTTCAGAGAATGACAGATGACGTATGTTTATAGTGTGTATTCTAAAATTGCTTACGTAAATTTCCACAAAGGTGTACCCCCCATACTCTATACGTATATTTCTTTTCTTATCTTTCTCTTTCTCTCTTTCTCTGTCTATCTCTCTCTCTCTCTATCTCTATCTGTTTATCTTTCTCTATCTCTCTCTCTATATATATATTTATCTTTCTCAATTTATCTATTTATCTTTCTCTATCTATCTATCTTATCATCAACACACGTTCACGCCGATAACCAGAAAGTTTTATGTTTACCATATTTATCAAGAAATAACAGCTGATATCTTATCTGA